TCTCTTGGCCCTGGTTCACTTCCTGTTCCCGCTGACGTCACATGACCACACGCCGCTCGTACACGGACGAGATCAACGCTCGAGAATCCTGTTTTTCTATAAATAGAGCGTTGGTTTAAGAGGCCGGCTCCTTCTCCTGCAGGTTGGACATAAGAAGAGATAACACAGGCTTAAAACTCAGGGTTATGGTCGATTCACATGCACACGTCCCAGGGGACTGAGGCTGTAGACCCAGGACTGAGGCTGTAGACCCAGGACTGAGGCTGTAGACCCAGGACTGAGGCTGTAGCCCCAGGACTGAGGCTGTAGACCCAGGACTGAGGCTGTAGACCCAGGACTGAGGCTGTAGACCCAGGACTGAGGCTGTAGACCCAGGACTGAGGCTGTAGACCCAGGACTGAGGCTGTAGACCCAGGAGAGGCTGTAGACCTAGGACTGAGGCTGTAGACCCAGGACTGAGGCTGTAGACCCAGGACTGAGGCCGTAGACCCAGGACTGAGGCTGTAGACCCAGGACTGAGGCTGTAGACCCAGGACTGAGGCTGTAGACCCAGGACTGAGGCTGTAGACCCAGGACTGAGGCTGTAGACCCAGGACTGAGGCTGTAGACCCCGGACTGAGGCTATAGACTTTGTTGCGAGGCCTTGGAGAGACTTGAGACCAGGACAGCACAGTGGCTGAGTGGTTAGCACTCTCGCTTCTCAGCAAGAAGGTCCTGGGTTCAAATCTCGGTCAGAACAGGGCCTTTCTGACTGGAGTTTGCATATTTTCTCTGTGTCTGTGTAGGTTTTCCTCCAGGTGCTCCCGTTTCCCCTACCACTAACAACATGTACAATAGGTCTGTGCCTCCTGTACTGGCCCCTCCCATCTCTGTGTGGACTCAGAGACAACAACAACAAGAACAATTGTAAACTGCTTTGAGACTCTGGTCTGTGAAAGGCGCTATATAAATAAAGATTACTTACTACTAATGTGATGGTACTTCCTGGTTCTAGTCTGGACTCAAACGTTTGTAATGTACTACAGTGTTTTCACAGCTCCAGACAAGCGCATGTGTGAATCTAAACCACAGATGTGACACAGTATTAGATCAAAATTGATATCCCACATTTCTGTACATACAATAAAGCCATGACCCGGACCTTCTGCGCCTCCAGCTGCTTCGCCAGCATTGTCCGGGTTAAATCCGTCACAAATATGTCGGCTTTTCTGACATACATCTAGCCTGGTATGTAAACAGCTGGCCCGGCAGATAATCATTGTATTAGGCCTTAGTCTTACTCAACAGTGACCGGCCTCGCTAATCCTCAATCACTCAAATGGCTGATATTTCACATTTTCGGGGGCTATCATGGGCGGCTAAAACATGGCTAAGTGGGAGGGGGGCGGCAGGGGGGAGGGGGGGGGGGGGGCGGGTTTGGGGGAGGGAGGGGGAGGGCGGGGGAGGGAGGGGCGCGGGCTCGGCGTGGTCTCGGCTCTGCATTCTGAACATTGGGTGATTTTGTTGTTGGTTTTAAAGGGTAATCTTGCGGAGCTCAGCGACGAGTAATCTTCTTTGTCGGACAAACCCACACATCCATAAATATGAGTTCATTATGTGGCATTTACTGACACAGACACAGACACAGACACCAGGGTATAACATACACAGACACCAGGACATAACAGACAGAGACACTGGGAATAACAGACACAGACACCAGGATATAACAGACACAAACACCAGGGTATAACAGACAGAGACACCAGGACATACAGACACAGACACCAGGGTATAACATACACAGACACCAGGGTATAACATACACAGACACCAGGACATAACAGGACAGAGACACCAGGACATAACAGACACAGACACCAGGGTATAACATACACAGACACCAGGGTATAACAGACAGAGACACCAGGACATAACAGACACAGACACCAGGGTATAACATACACAGACACCAGGGTATAACAGACAGAGACACCAGGACATAACAGACACAGACACCAGGGTATAACATACACAGACACCAGGGTATAACATACACAGACACCAGGACATAACAGACACAGACACCAGGGTATAACATACACAGACACCAGGACATAACAGACACAGACACCGGGTATAACATACACAGACACCAGGGTATAACAGACACAAACACCAGGATATAACAGACAGAGACACCAGGACATAACAGACACAGACACCAGGGTATAACATACACAGACACCAGGGTATAACATACACAGACACCAGGGTATAACATACACAGACACCAGGATATAACAGACAGAGACACCAGGACATAACAGACACAGACACCAGGGTATAACATACACAGACACCAGGGTATAACATACACAGACACCAGGATATAACAGACAGAGACAGGACATAACAGACACAGACACCAGGGTATAACATACACAGACACCAGGGTATAACAGACAGAGACACCAGGACATAACAGACACAGACACCAGGGTATAACATACACAGACACCAGGATATAACAGACAGAGACACCAGGACTAACGACACAGAGACAGGGTATAACATACACAGACACCAGGTATAACATACACAGACACCAGGACACCCAGGACATAACATACACAGACACCAGGGTATAACATACACAGACACCAGGACATAACAGACACAGGACACCAGGGTACATAACAGACACAGACACCAGGGTATAACAGACACAGACACCAGGGTATAACAGACACAGGACACCAGGGTATAACACAGACACAGACACCAGGGTATAACATACACAGACACCAGGGTATAACAGACAGAGACACCAGGATATAACAGACACAGACACCAGGGTATAACATACACAGACACCAGGATATAACAGACAGACACCAGGACATAACAGACACAGACACCAGGGTATAACATACACAGACACCAGGACATAACATACACAGACAAAACCAGGGTATAACATACACAGACAACCAGGATATAACAGACAGAGACACCAGGACATAACAGACACAGACACCAGGGTATAACATACACAGACACCAGGGTATAACAGACAGAGACACCAGGACATAACAGACACAGACACCAGGGTATAACATACACAGACACCAGGGTATAACAGACAGAGACACCAGGATATAACAGACACAGACACCAGGGTATAACATACACAGACACCAGGATATAACAGACAGAGACACCAGGACATAACAGACACAGACACCAGGGTATAACATACACAGACACCAGGATATAACAGACAGAGACACCAGGACATAACAGACACAGACACCAGGGTATAACATACACAGACACCAGGATATAACAGACAGAGACACCAGGACATAACAGACACAGACACCAGGGTATAACATACACAGACACCAGGGTATAACAGACACAGACACTGGGACATAACAGACACAAACCTACACAGACACGGGGAGAACATGCAAACTCCACTGTTCCCTGTTCCGACCAGGATTTGAACCCAGCACCTTGCTGAGAAGCGAGAGTGTTAACCACTCAGCCACTGTGCCGCCCAAGTGTAGCACTAGAGCACAGCAGTATTTCAATCTGGAGAGACTTTGAGGAGACAAAATGCATTTTGAATGTTTTTATCGAAGGTGTTTTGGCGCCCTAGGCCCCGGTGCGGCGTTCAGTCAGCGAGGCTCCTGCGAGAGTGCGCACAATCCCCCGGGACCTAGGCACTGGTGGTGGCATTCAGCAGCAGGAAGAGGCATGATGAGAAAAGGAGGAGGAGGGGAGGCGGTGGTTTGTAAGGCTTCAGGAAGGCCGTAAAGTGGGAGTTTCTCTGCTTTTAAGCGGCTGGCCTGGCCGGCGAAGGTTGGTTGGAAATGGGCGTTTGCTGCGATAGGCTGGGGCTGCGAGGCCGGCCTGGAAGGGCTTTAGCCGTCAGTCTTGCAGAGTCTTCCAGAGTCTTCCAGAGTTGAATTTCCGCGAGGCTGCATTTATCTTCTCAGCAGAGAATCAAACACAGAAAAACAGAGAAACTCAGTGGAATAAAAGAGAAACCTCGGAAAGCCCACATGAGCCTCATTTCTGCCTTCTCTACTCTACTCTACTCTACTCTACTCTACTCTACTCTACTCTACTCTACTCTACTCTACTCTACTCTACTCTACTCTACTCTACCCTACTCTACTGTACCCTACTCTACTCTACTCTACTCTACTCTACCCTACTCTACTGTACCCTACTCTACTCTACTCTACTCTACTCTACTCTACTCTACTGTACTCTACTGTACCCTACTCTACTCTACTCTACTCTACTCTACTCTACTCTTCAGTAACCATCCATCCATCTTCTTCCCCTTAATCCATTTCTGGGTCGGGGGGTGGCAGTCAGGACTACACCCAGTCCACTTAGCACCAGCCCCTGACTGATCCTCCTGCAGGTGCTGAGCCTTGATCTTTTCAGGGGGGGCATCAAAGACCAAAACACCCCGATAATAACGTTGAATCATTTCAGAATGTGTTAATCAGAACCACATATGTCCCAGAACCTCATGCTAATGCTAATGCTAATGCTAACATGTACAATAACTATGCATTTACTGCACTAGAAAACACAGGAGTTGTTATCTTTTTATAGTATAGTGATTTTTCATGTATCTGGTGATGCAACACTGACATTTCCCCGCTGTGGGACAAATAAAAAATCTCTAACACTTAATCTCACACTCCCGAAAATGAAAGCCGTCAAATTGACTGCTGTGGGAGGAGTGGTGTTATTAAACGGTCGTTACAAGCGCCGCTGCTGCTGCTGTTCTCTGCTGCGTCATCAGTTTGGTTCTGCTGATCCGCGGCAGTGATCCAGGCTCCGGGCTCCTGATGGAACCCCCCTCTGACCCTGTCTCTCTCTGGGGAAGCAGCAGTCCATCCTGGGCCCCGGGACAGTGCGGGGGCAGGGGTCCGGGGGCTGATGTATGAAGCCTTTATTACTCTGGACAAAGCAGATCCGTTGCCGCGGTCGGAGGCAGCCGCAGAGTCGGACACAAAGGGTGCGGTTTGAAGTGTTTTAGTTTGGCAGAAAGCAGACGTTACATTTTGTTAAGCAGGGTTAGTCAGGGCAGGTGTGGGTGATTATTTTCTCCTGGGGCCACATTGGAATATCTGCATCTTCAACAAGATTTATGTGGCTTGTCTGTGTAGTTAAATTAGACAAAAAGCTATTCTAAAATCTAAAAACTGATTGAGCCAGTGTTTTCTTTGTATTACTTTATCTACTTATTAGTAACAAGGATTAAGTTATGGTGAAGAGGGAGCAGCGTCTGCAGTCAGAGCTGTATCAGACCGTTGTGGTGAAGAGGGAGCAGCGTCTGCAGTCAGAGCTGTATCAGACCGTTGTGGTGAAGAGGGAGCAGCGTCTGCAGTCAGAGTGTGCGGAGAGAGGTCTAGAACAATGCCTTAAACACCGAGTCCTTCTGAGATTAATTCTTTCACAGATTGAACATGAACTAATTACATTTCTGTTTATCTCACACAAAAATCACCACGACGACGCAAGAACTAATTGCATATATTGTCGATTCCGTGTTTAAGCCTTCTATTGTTACAACCTCTATCAAAATCTCCCCTTTCGCCGCAGCACACAGGCCTCCATTTTGCTTTTACGTGTTAAAGAAATCAAGCTAAAGGCGATATAAATATATAAATCCAATTAAATACGATGTTCTTTTAGTGAGAATTTCCTCCCGTTGACGTCCGTTTCATTCAGACCTAATGCCCATCACGGTGTCTATAAAGCGGAAATGTAAAATGTCATGTCTTCATAAGGTGATTAAAGTCCGGCTCCGGGCCTGATATCGCCCATGAAAGGATTATATACGGTGCCTTTAATCTTCCCGTCATCGCAGAAAGACAGATCTCGACGCACGGTGAGTCCTGCAGCTGGAGGCTCAGGGCCGTGGGTTTGATGGACGGGCTTTGGAGTCTATCCAAGCTGGAGCTGGGTAAAAACCGTGGTGAGAAAAGCTAAGCGGAGAAGGGGCTGGTTAGTGCTGTGATGGGAGACCTCTGGGAACACCAAGGTCATACACAAAGGTAACTCAAACTGCCGAACAAAACAAGAAGTGAAATATAGAAATAAAATAAAACAGCTTTGAACTTTGTCAGAGAAGAAGCCTGTCTCACGTTTTCAGGAAGACGGTTACAGATTTTAGCTGCATGAATCTGAAATGCTGCCTCCTCATGTTTGGTCCTGACTCTGGGACCAGCAGGAGGCCGGTCCCTGTCTCCTCAGAGTCCCAGCAGGAGACCAGTCCCTGTGCTCCTCAGAGTCCCAGCAGGAGACCAGTCCCTGTGCTCCTCAGAGTCCCAGCAGGAGACCAGTCCCTGTGCTCCTCAGAGTCCCAGCAGGAGGCCAGTCCCTGTGCTCCTCAGAGTCCCAGCAGGAGGCCAGTCCCTGTGCTCCTCAGAGTCCCAGCAGGAGACCAGTCCCTGTGCTCCTCAGAGTTGGTTCATATGGCCCTAACATGTCTCAGATGTACTGTAGTGCGAGGCTGTGGAGAGGCACAGACCGACTCTTTTGTGATATTTTTTCTGCAGACTTTCTGAATGTAATTTTCATACTATTTTTTACACAAAATGACACATCCACATTTGGTCTTCTCTGTCTTCTCTGGCGTCTGATTCTCGGAGTTGAAACCAGACTGTGACGTGTGAGTGGAGCTGTGATTGTGGCTGTGGATCCTTTCCACTGAGTTTTGTCTGTCAGGCTGCGTCTGTCACTCACACCTTCAGTTCTGCTGCTCTGCCTTCGCTTTGGTAACTGCACATCAGCTCCTGTCGACCATGAAGGAGACCGACACCAGAGAGAGCAAACACCAGCACCGCAGGGAGAATATGGTAGTTAGAAGTACCAGCAAATACCAGATGCGTTTGGAAATTATAGGAAAGATTTAGAACGATATAGACTTTACAAAACTGTCGATTCGTCATCACAGATCAGAGAATCAAACAGGCCACTGTCCATAAATGTTGTTGAATGTTGACGGTCCTGAGACCTCCTGCAAACACTAAACCAACTCTTAAATTCAATCCAACAGCAGTCTCCTCCTGGGACTTTACAATGTTGTACATTTGACAACATTAGATTAGAATCTATAAGAACAAACACAGATGGTTTCACAGTCGGTCCACAGGCGGCAGGACGACCAGAGTCTATACATGTTCATACATGTTCATACATGTTCATACGTGTTCATACGTGTTCATACATGTTCATACATATTCATACATGTTCATACATGTTCATACATGTTCATACATGTTCATACATGTTCATAAATGTTCATACATGTTCATACATGTTCATACATGTTCATACATGTTCATACATGTTCATACATGTTCATACGTGTTCATACGTGTTCATACGTGTTCATACGTGTTCATACGTGTTCATACGTGTTCATACGTGTTCATACATGTTCATACGTGTTCATACGTGTTCATACGTGTTCATACATGTTCATACGTGTTCATACGTGTTCATACGTGTTCATACATGTTCATACGTGTTCATACATGTTCATACGTGTTCATACGTGTTCATACGTGTTCATACGTGTTCATACGTGTTCATACATGTTCATACATGTTCATACGTGTTCATACGTGTTCATACGTGTTCATACGTGTTCATACATGTTCATACGTGTTCATACATGTTCATACGTGTTCATACATGTTCATACGTGTTCATACGTGTTCATACGTGTTCATACGTGTTCATACGTGTTCATACATGTTCATACGTGTTCATACGTGTTCATACATGTTCATACGTGTTCATACATGTTCATACGTGTTTATACATGTTCATACGTGTTCATACATGTTCATACATGTTCATACGTGTTCATACATGTTCATACATGTTCATACATGTTCATACGTGTTCATACATGTTCATACATGTTCATACTTGTCCATCTACTTTCATTCATTCATACAAGTCTTTACTGGTTTCTCCCTCAGAGATTAGTGGGAGGAGCTTAGATTAGCTCAGACATACCAGAGATACCTTCTGAAGGGTCCAAGCAGATCCCTCTCTCATTATGGACCTCCCCAAGTTTTTATTTTTTTCCAAGTGGGGTTTTTGAGTTGTTTCTTGCCATTACAGGAGGGTCTGAGGGCAGTGATGATTCGGGTCTATTATATCTATTTAATCTACAATCTATTATATTCATCTATTTATCAACATTAATGGACATTACGGGCGACAGTAGCTCAGTTGGTAGAGCATTGGCCTTTGGGCCTGAAGGTCGTGGGTTCAAGCCCACCATAAGACCTACTTCATGACTCCCACTGATGACTGCTGTCGTTGTGTCCTTGGGCAAGACACTTAACCCCACTTTGCCTGAAGCCCCCACTGAAAGATCTCAGCTCCTGTGGACTCACCACCTGCAGGAGGATCAGTGAGAGGCTGGTGCTAAGTGTCCTGGGTGCAGCTCTGACTGCCACCCCCCCAACCCAGAAATGGATTAAGGGGAAGAAAATGGATGGATGGATAATGGACATTGGTCATCTGCGCCTCACGGACAAATGCCTTTAAAGTCCTGCTGGAACTGTTTTTAACTGTGTTTTGCATGAAACTTTGTACCTTTTGTAAGACGACTTTGAGAGCCTAGAAAGGTGCCTTATTATTTAAGTTATTATTAGTTATAAGTCATTACCAGTGGGGGCGGGACCCGGCTCAAAAATGGCCAAAATGACGTGCGTTGACATGCTGCAATACCACCCCGGGCCTGTGGGGGTGGACCCGGAATGAGAATTAGCCAATGCTAACATATAGCATCTTCTTACCTCTGGAAAACGTCTTTACAGGATGGTCCAAAAGTGGCCCTTGGCCCAAAGCTCCGTTCCACATGTGTGTTAATGCTAAGTGTTCTGGACCAGTCTAGTTTAGTCGCTGTGGACTTTAGAAGTCACTCGTTTAAATGAATGGAGCTCGTGCAGCTGACGCATGCACAGATGTGTTTTTTCACATTTTCCAGCCCCCGCGGCCATTTTGAATCACTCCATGAAAGCCCAATTTTTGGCCCAGTAGTTAGAACGGCGGAGAAAGGCCTGACTAGGTCCGTTAATATTTAGTCTATGGTTATTACTATATACAGTCTATGGTTATGACTTTCTTCCCCCTGACCTTTTCCTCAGCTTCTCAACTTATTTATTGCCACTTGGAATTTGAATACAAACAGGAGACACTGGGGGCACCGACACCACAAAGTACACACACACAAAGACATAAAGAATAAAAATAGCAAGACACAGTGAGGCACATATAAAACTCTTAAAAGCATTATTAAGAAGCTACGAAGAAGCTACAGATGTGTTCACCTCTCCTGGTTGTGTTTTCCAGGGTGAGGGCTCTAACTTCCTGCAGCTGGGCGCCTCCATCGAGCAGCAGATCAACGGCATGTTCAAGGTGATGGAGGAGTACAACTGGGACAGCTTCGTGGTCATCACCCAGCCTCTACCCGGGCTACGAGACCTTTGTGGATTACATCAAGTCCTTCACCGACACCAGCTACTTCCTGTGGGAGCTCCAGGACGTGCTCTCTTTCGACATGTCCGCCGACGGCCTCAGCGACCTCCGCGCCCGCCGCCTCCTGCAGCAGATCGATGCCCAGGTCCTGCTGGTCTACTGCTCCCACGAAGAGGCCCAGTACCTGTTCGCCATGGCCAAGGACGTGGGGCTGGTGGGGCCGGGCTACATTTGGATTATCCCCAGTTTGGCGGTGGGGAACCCGGACATCGCCCCGCCGGAGAGCTTCCCCATCGGGCTCATCAGCATCATCACGGACCGCTGGAGGATGAGTCTGAGGAAGAGGGTGCGAGACGGAGTGGCCATTGTGGTCAAAGGGGTTCAGAGCTTCAGGAAGCAGCGAGGGTTCATCCCCGAAGGACACAGCGACTGCCACAGCCCGGTCAAACCAGCCGTGACCAACGATACTCTGTTCAGGTGA